ATATATTATTAAACCAAATATAAATTACTTCATTATTGAACCTAAATTAAATTATAATAACAAAAATTGAATTAAAAAATTACAAAAAATGAATTTTAAATAGTTAATTTGATACTAATATCGATATTTTTTGTCAAATTTTTATGATATTTTCAAGTTTATATTTTATTCAAAAATAAAAATATCATCGCTTTTTCAAAATCACATAAGACCATACTATAACATCAACTAAGATAAAGAATAAAATAAAATATTAAAATCAAGATGTATTTCATTGCATTATACAAGTACCCTTCTAGTATATAATAATCAAATTTAAACTCTTTCAATTAACATATTATATAATTTATTTTTCTTTACTATGGTATTTGTATTAATTAACATATCATATTATTAGAAATTCTTTGAATTATATTATGAAATATTTGTATTTGTCAAACATAATATAAACATCAGCTAGCTTATCAACTATCAGCTAACAATTAACTTGTTAGTTATAAGTTAGCTTATCAACTAGTTTGTCAAATATAACCTTAAAACTGGTTTTATTTCTGTGCAATTTGTACTTTCATCAATATTCAAATATTTGTTTTGATTAAACAATCATAAAAGAAGATGATTTGAAATGAAAGTCACAAAAAAAAAAGAACATGAAAAAATCAAACATTATTTTATAATAAATTCAACAATGAAATATATTTGATATTGGAATGCCCACTAGGCATATAAGCTAAAATTTCCCTTCAACAATTCAAGTTGTGGATCTATCAAGATGAAATCTTTAACTTAAAATCGAGTAATAAAATCTGAATTTGGTTTGCAAAATGCAAATATATGGGCGTTCAACACAAGAGTGATGCCTCGTTGATTTGAGTTTGAACTCTAAAGATCAAAAGTGTCTGAAAGTCTCAGGTTCAAATTCAAGGAGGAATAAAAATCTCTTTGTGGTCATGGGAGTTCAAATGCGTGACTTCAGGGTACTCATAAAGCAGGTGGTTATCCTGGAATTAATCGGCTCGCATAGCGGGTTGAATATCTAGGTTATATGTATGCAGTAGAAAATATATAGTTCAAAATAATATGTAGAAATGGTTAATTAGTTTAGAATCATAACTTGTGTTAATAAAGTTTTCATTTCTGGTCAAAGATAAGGCTTTGCTTTATTAACATTTTATTGTTGGACAACATGTCTTTAAAATCACCTACAAAAATGCACTTTACTTTAATCACTTTTGATGACTTGTTAAAAGAAGACCATGATGCACTTTAACCATATTCCACCCTCTCCAATACTTTTGCATTTTTTAAAATATAACAAAATAACAAAGGTTATACTAGACACATACATATATATCTATACTATATTATAAAACATTTGGCTAAAACTCTTAAATTCTTAAAACTCTTAAATCCGTTCATCCCTAAACAATTTTCATCTCTATCCGATTTCATCCCATAACTGAATTCATATAACTAACTACAGATAAACACAATCAAATACATGATAAACATCTCATTTTAAATATAAAAAATCTAAAATATAATTAGGATAATCATTGAGTTCTAACA